TGGACTCGTTTTTTATAACGCAGACTTTTTGGTGGCAGACCGCGAACGATATGGGGTTTTAGCCGTTGATTTCAACCGTAATTTACCGCCAACGTTCATTAAATGGATCGTGTACAGCTTCGTTTCTTGTCCAATGGCAGCCGGCATTATTTTGTAAAGATGAAGAAAAAAAGAATAAATCGACAAATGTATAACAATGAGGTTGTGAACAATCCTTCATCATGTTGACTACAATAAAAAAAAAAAGAAAATCAATAAATTCTTGAGCAAGAACTTATTTTTTTTTGCATTCTTAACAGCGACCAACCGAATATCAGGAACAGTATTGAGTGAGGACAGGTTTGGAATTTTTCGACTCTGTCTAAAACAATTCAATGGGAAGATAGGTAATGTACGGCAATAAAATATTCAGTTTAATTTCAGATGGTTTATTTCGATTCACAGAACTGGGTACATTTATTGGTCGAAGTATAAGAAAATGAACGATTCGTGATTTGGGGGAAACATTTAATGAAGTGTTTCTCAGAATATAAAGATTGGAATGGCGTATTTAATAATAGTCGGGTAAGTAGGTCTCAAAGGGAGAGTGTTAAACGGCGCTATTGTGCCTTGAGATGCATCGATTGTTGTCGAGTCTTGCTCTTGCGACCTTGTCGACATTTGTACAGAGGCAGTCGATGTTTTGGTGTCAATTGCTTTCAGTCCTTTTATTTCGTCTGCATTGATGGATAAGATCGTTGTGGATGCCGGGGTACCTGTAATAGAACAATAAATATGATGAAATCCATGAAAATGTATAAACATAATTCATATCTTAAACATTTCATTCAAAGTGATTTTAATAATTATTATAAATGTCAGTGATTGCACAAGAATATCTAAATAATATTTACTTCTAGTGATGGTGGCATCCTTCAGTGGCAAGTCTGCTCGGAGATCCTACAGAATAATATGAATTTTTATCACTATAATAATAAATAATATTAAGCTACATATGATCCAGTTGCTATTACAACCTTTGCAACTGCTTTCAGATTTTCTTCAGTCTGCCCTTTTCCACTAATCTTCATTTCTCCAGAATTTTCAAGTTTAACTTCCTTCAAGCTAGCTTCTCCCTGTTCAATCTTTTCTCGTCCCATTGGAATTTTCTCACCTGACTCAATGGCTGGTTTTTGTTCGTCCTTCAACTCCTTCAAAAGTACACCGTTCTCAGTTATTTTTATCACTTCAGCTATAGGACTCTCAGGTACACTTCCGTCTATCTTCATTTCTTCACCACTCCGAGCTCCCGTCGCCAATTTCTGTGCTTCCAAGTGAGCTTCACGAGCTGCAATCACTTCTTGTGTGTCTTGCACCTGTTCAAGACAGTTTTATAACAGAGTTGCACCAACGTGATCAATACAGAAAATATTTAAATATTGTCAAACATCAAAGCAACGAATACTGACTTAACAAAGATATCTCTAATGACTTGTACCAGGCAACGATATTTTCTGCTACCCAATTAAGGAATAACTAAGTCCGAATAATTACAATTTCTTAGCAGATTTGTCTAATTCAAATAGCCATTCCTTACTGGAATTCACCTAGTTCTATGATAGTAATACATCTCTGAACATTACTTAGTGTTAATTACATCAAATAATTATTTATACGTCAAATAGTTCGCAAAGATTACCGGAAGTGGCGCCTGAGGCAGATTGGTAGCAGCAATCCGGAAGCCCCCGGTGTCAGCTGTGTACTGGGCACTTTGTACAACCCCTGCATCGTCGATGTAGCTGTAAGCACCACGTGTTTCACCGTTCAGCGTTCTGATCTCTGATCTAGCTGAATCCGGAGCACTGTAGCCAAAACTGTACTGACCCTTGCTGTCCTGGTAGTTCAGGAGTGGTGCGGCTGGCTTGGCCAGACCGGAAGAAAGTAGGCAGCAGATTGAAAGTAAAATCTGGAAAAAATATGTATTAACACTGATAAAAGTCGTGATGGGAATAGCTGCTTCCTAGTTTCAAGAGGAGAGTGTAGTTCAAACTAAAATTAGGGTATGGGTTGGTCTATGGATCTCTACTATTAATTAGACCCTAGTGTTTCACTGTCATGGAATCCACAGATTGAAGCCTAACGTTAATCTTGGGCTAGGCCTATTCAGTTCAACTGTTTTGTTACCCAGTCAGTTAACCCTAGAAGTTCACCTGAACACTTCCAACTCAGACAATAGTAATTGCTAAAATTAGGGTTTATAGATCTCTACTATTAGTTAGACCCTAGTGTTTTACTGTCATGGAATCCACAGATTGAAGCCTAACGTTAATCTTGGGCTAGGCCTATTCAGTTCTACTGTTTTGTTACCCAGTCAGTTAACCCCAGAGATCCCACTAAATACTTCAAACTGCTACAGTACTGATCCTAGGTATCCTCAGCTCTTGAAAAAAGGCAGCACTTCATCTCCATGAATTTTAGAATAACTGCTCGAAACCGATGTCTTATTACTTCAATGTCAACGAATGCCAAGAGTCCACCCAAGTCCACTGATCCAGTCATCGAAACTGGACTGTCCACTTACGTCCTACCCCAAAGTTAGCAATCCCCCAAAAGTGTATTTCCACTATTCAAGCCCAAGGAACGCTGATTTACGACCACTAAACCTCTAACTACCGCCGAGATAGGGCTATCCCCAAGGGACCAAACTAGGAAGGCTAGAAACCGATCTTGTACACCCACGCTACTACTATCAGGACTTACGTATGCACACCCCATGATGATTCGATTGGATATCGTCGAATTTCCTCTCCTGCATAAGACTATTTATATGGACATGTTCCGATGGCTCACCACACCCTCGAACGAGACGATACTCCTCTTCCACGGTCAGGCGGAATCCCGGATAATCAGAGGACCAAAGGAGAGACGGCCCTTGTGGGACTGGTTACGCCTGTCTTCAAGGACTCGCCTCGGATGGAATCCGGCTCCGAAAGTGTTTCCACGGAATATTTTTTGCAAACGCGTACGGAACCTGAACCATGGTCCTATGCCCTAATATGTACGCGAGTCAGGGTCGTCGAGGAGATCCGCGAGCGGTATAAAATAATCCATTCCTGGGGAGGCTCCCGAGGGCAACGTTTGCGTACAGGATACGGGCGAGCTCTTATCATCGATCTGACTCGTATTTTCCATTTGTCCGTGGACCAGGGTGTGTCGATTCGACTTTACATTACCCGTGGGGATCAGGATGCGATGTTTAGGAGACTGAAAATGGAGCATGATGCAGTTTGAATTCTAAAAGGTAATACACTAGATGTTTAACCGTTTCTCCGTTTCGAAGGGGCAGCAAAAGTAGTGCCAGGGGTACGTTTTTGTTTATTGCAAAATTCAAGTCACATTAGTCATTGTAGGTGGAGTTTGGGGACGGGATAACAATATTGACTGTATTGTAAGTTAGTAATTTTTTTCGTGGATATTTGTGATCAATATTTCTTTATTATGTAATATAATATAAAATAAGATACAATGAAATCGAATTTTATCCATCCAATTTGTTCTTTAAAATGCTAAATAATTAATTAACACGAAAAGTAGTTCTTATTGACTCACCCTATATACCCGTATTTTACGCGTACATGAAATCCATTAATTTGTTAATACGTCTGGGTTATCTTTTGAGAATGATAAGGAAATCGTAAATTTCCCGATGCTCTCATTAACCGAGAGTAACAAATTTGTATTAATATGCTGTAAAAATCAGCAGGCCATTAAGTGCTCTGATACGGACCTTAATGGCGTGTCTCATTATCTCTGCCGGTTAATGAGTGGTTCGCTCAGTTTACGCAGCAGAACCGTATTTTAAATTAACGAATATAATATTGCAGATATATTCAGGTACGTGTTCTAAAAATACTCGAATCAATAAAAATACAAGAAGCAAAATAATATAAAAAATGTTGAAGTTACAAAACTCGAGAATAATTTATTTCTTGTTTTATATTATCTCAAATTCAGATATATTATTTATAGTGAATAAAAGTAGAAACAGGTAATAATTCAGTAAGAAACAGGTAATAAAATAAAGTGGAATATAGTTAGAAGGTTAATAAACATCACAAAACGAAGCTCACGGTTCATTTGTTTCACCTCCGTTCATTTTCTCGTCTCACCGCGGCTGGCAGAAATCATTGTCGTTCCTAGATTACACCTGCACACCTCGCAACTCAATTAGCATACTATCCTCGACCCGAATTTGATGCAATCGATCTTGACACAATAATACGTCTGCTAAAAAATTACCGATATTAATATGTATCGATTTCCCCGTCTGTCTTGTCAGAGTGTGAACCGCAGGTCAGGCTTATTGCCCGACTTGTTTGCCGATTTTTCACCGGTCGAACCACAGAGCGGAGCCAGAAATAGCCAGACAGTGCCTTTCGACAGTCTGCAGTGAGTAATTGACACTAAGGACTTAATAATGCGCGCAACACCTGTCGACACTCGTTCAAAGCATTTCAGACACCCCAGAAAATACATTCTAAATGTATCAGGTAATAGAAGAAAGAACTAGTCCAACTCCTCAAAATCTAATAGAGACAAGTAGCTACAAGGGTTTGAAAGATATAAAAGATAGCCAAGAGAAGGATTGTCTGTGACTCCACAGGTACCCTCACGAGCAAACTCAGTGTCCGTTAGGGGACTAAGTATAGGGGAAGGACCTCCTACCACTTGGTGAATTTATTTCAAATACTAAAATAACTGTTTAAACTAATGTTGATTTGGAATAAATTTCAGTAACTCCTGGGACCAAGTTGTAGGAAGACCTTCCCCTAGTGGGTGCCGAGTTTGTTAATAGGGGTACCTTTATAGCTACCTGCAAGAATCATCATGTCCACACAATCAAGGAACAAAGACATCAGCAATGGTTCCGAACAGTTTCTTTATTTCAACTAAAAACAACTATTCATAGACTATATTGTATAGTGATTCCCGCGCGAGTGCTCTCCTTTGGGCTTTCTGTATCAATAAACAAGCCTCCCGTAGGCTACAGAAGGGCTGGCGATAGCGAGGACATCGGCGGACCTAGCCGCCTCGTTGACCAAGTTCAGTTTCTCGTTCAGATGGGCAGACGCATGCGCAGCCTTCGCCACGGCTACTTCCGCTGTGTCCTGGACTCGTCCATCGGGACCAATAGGCGCTCCTGGCACGACTACAGCGTTGGCCGCCACCAGCGGCACGGACACAGCTTGTCCAGCGGTTACCACAGTTCCCGAGGATCTGACCGCCTCATTCACCAAAGAGATTCTCTCGTTGATTTGGGCAGCTGCGTGCGCTGCCTTCGCGGCCGCCACTTCCGGTGTGTCCAGCACTCTTCCGTCAGGGCCCACTGCTGCCCCAGGAATTGCGGCTATCAATCCGCTAGCCACGAGGGGTACGACTCGCCTGGAAGGAATTTTTTTCAGGTTACCAAAGATTCAGAATCAGACACCACCTTTAGACACCTTGTGTCTGTACTAAAATCCTCTAGTCCAATGAAATTATGCTAGCCCAGTATCATAACTGTCGCAGCCAAATGGTGTAGCAATGTTCCTATCCCCTAACTCCTCTAAACCAATAGTCACCTGTTCACATCCGCCGCCAAAGACCTAGTGTTGTGTCTGTACTAAAATCTTCTAGTCTAATGAAATTATTCTAGCCCAGAATCATAACTGTCGCAGCCAAATGGCGTATCAATATTCCCATCCCCTAACTACTCTAAACCAATAGTCACCTGTTCACATCCGCCGCCACAGCCCTAGATGTGTCTGTACTAAAATCTGCTAGTCCAATGAAAGTATGCTAGCCCAGTATCATAACTGTCGCAGCCAAATGACGTAGCAGTGTTCCTATCCCCTAACTCCTCTAAACTAATAGTCACCTGTTGCCATGCGCCACCAAAGACCTAGTGTTGTGTCTGTACTAAAATCTTCTAGTCCAATGAAAGTATGCTAGCCCAGTATCATAACTGTCGCAGCCAAATGGCGTAGCAATGTTCCCATCCCCTAACTCCTCTAAACCAATAGTCACCTGTTCACATTCGCCGCCATAGACCTAGATCTGTCTGTACTAAAATCTTCTAGTCTAATGAAATTATGGTAGCCCAGTATCATAACTGTCGGAGCCAAATGGCGTAGCATTATTCCCATCCCCTAACTCCTCTAAACCAATAGTCACTTGTTCACATGCGCCGCTACAGACCTAGATGTATCTGTACTAAAATCTTCTAGTCTAATGAAATTATGCTAGCCCAGAGTCATAACTGTCGGAGCCAAATGGCGTAGCAATATTCCCATCCCCTAACTCCTCTAAACCAATAGTCACCTGTTCACATCCGCCGCCACAGACCTAGCAGCCTCGTTGGCCAGATTGATTCTCTCGTTGACCTGCGCGGCAGCATGAGCAGCCTTGGCGATAGCGACCTCCTGCGTGTCGACGACCCTACCATCGGGTCCGACAGGTGCACCAGGTATCAGAACGGTAGGCGCAGAGACCACCAACGAGGAAGGCCTGACCACAGTGGCTTGAAGTACCCCGGATGACCTGGCAGCTTCGTTGGCCAGGTTGATCCTCTCGTTCAGTTGCGCTGCAGCGTGTTCCGCCTTCGCGACTGCAACCTCTGGCGTGTCCAACACTCTGCCATCAAGCCCGACCGATGCGGCTGGGGTCAGCCTAGCGATCAACGGGCCCGAGATGAGGCCCGGCTTGGCCAGAGCAACGGAGATCAGTCCGACGAACACCAAGCCGACTGGTGACATGACGATTGACGGGGCCTAGGACAGGGTGACTTCGATAATGCGCAGACGTCGCAAACGGCTGGCGATCGTACACGTGAAGGAGGATCGTTGGACACGGTCGACTATGAGCAGGGCTCGTCCTAGATCAGCTTTTATAGGCCGGCCGCGATCGCGTAACACGACGATCCGTCCGAGATGTTAATAGAAAAATCTGGTGGATCGATAGATCGTACGAACACGTTGGATAGAGGGACCCCGAGGATCAGGCGACGCGTTTCCGTTCCTCGGGGCAAGGTAAGCGTGTTGTAAAACGAGTACGGTCTGCGGGTGGCGGCGGCGTCGTCCAGGGAAAAATTCTACGGGTGGGCTCCATTTTCGTGTCCCGCGCTGCAAGAGGACGGCCAAGGGGGGGGAAGACACTCGATCCCGTTGTCATTTCTCCAAGCGGGGCCGGCGGCCCTGATCGCCGAAGGTCGACGCCGCTCGAAGGCCGACAATCGCGTAACTGATCACACTCGTGCCGCGCCGTACGTCGGTCCTGTTTGTTGTTAGATCACGAACAGCTAGATTGCTGCGTCCTGGCGCTCGTCACTTTCAGGAAGCTTGGGGGAGATCCGATGCTCAACGGTTTTTCGGCGGGAGCGGCGTTTAGAGTATCCTATAGTCAGAGTTGGGCAGAATTTTATTCGAATAATACGTAGGGAAAAGCAGCAGTATCTAAAAGTGGCGTTTTGAGCTTTAAACAGTTAATGAGATTGGATAATAATTGTTCGACCCCCATTATGTCATTCATAAAGAACCCTGGTAGCACAAAATATTAAATACATATTCATCCAATATTAAAAAGAGATTGAATCTTTGTTTAATATTTAAATATACATACAATGTTTATTTCATATTTCAAAAAAAATATTTTTGCCCCAATATGAAATAAATATGTATTTAATATTGGAAACAAAATACTTTTGCAAACATGTATTTTATATTTCCTGAATATGTATACAATATTTGGATTTAATATTTATTTCATATTAAAAAGTGTGGCTAACAAAATATTTTTTCAATATTTTTGTGCTACTAGGGAAGTATTATTTTATTCGAAAAATTGAAATTTCCGTATTTAAACAATTAAAAATGATGAAATATTTTTATTTTTTATTCGTTATTCGAAAATTTTTATCTAGACAATGAGTTGCCCATCTCTGCCTCTATTGGACCTTTAGGCTAGCTCGAATTAAGGTATTCTAGTCTTGCGCATGAGTTTCGTGCACATCTTTCAGAATTTTTTTTGGGCGACCAAAGCAAGTGTGGCACACAAAGTTTTTTCTAATGACTTAGTTGTACTTTTAACAGTATTTATACATTTTTTTATCGCAAAGAAATATATGTAGGATGTCTGTACGAAGGTTTGAAGATTGAACGTTCTTCCAACTGGGTGCTGTGATATCTTCGTAACGGTACGTGCGATTTCAATGAAATTTTTAGGAACACGCCCTTAAGATTTCTTGGACCTGTGGTTATCAATAATTCTTAAAAAATTGAAATTTATTCTAAACAAAATTTAATAACATTCAATCGTAATAATCATAACGTTCAATATATCATCATTGTGATACAAATCACAGGAGTGTTAAGTGAACTATAAGTGTACCAATTAAAAGGTTTAACGACTTCTTGTATACACGAATAAAAAATTCGAGACAAAAACGTAGCGTCCAATTCTATCGACACTTCTTTTAATTCGACAAAACACGAAACGTTGCATCATGCAGTTTCTTGTTACACTCGGTGTCTAGTTATGTACACCTCTGATTCTAGTCGATACGAATATTCTATATCGCATAAGGAAATCGCGTGGATACAAAAAACGAATTTCTCAAAAACGGTGAAAGGAAATGAAGCCATCTGATGCCGATTTTCACTGAGGGCCGATTAAACTGTAAAGAAAGGCTATTATTCATTGAAACGAAGTCTACTAATAGCATCCTGGTGTTATAAAAAGGAATCTTCTTATTTCAACTGAAGCTTCTAGTTGAATTTGAGAAAGTAACAAATAGGAAATGTTATTACTTTCTCGTTCGATTACGTAATACTACGATTTATAAAAAAATCAATATAAATGTTCCAACACGTAGTTACTACGCTTTTAAGTCTGAAAATAGGTATTTGATACTGATACAATAATATTTCTTTCTAATTTGTTAAAATGCTCAGTGCATAGTAGTATTGCACGTTCGCGATTACTGCACGTTCTGCATGATGTCGTCATTCGATAAGCAATAGATCTTTAGCCGTCGAAATGTCGTAAATTCAGATCGAATTTCTTTCGCTAGATGGCACTGTATTTAATATACGTTGACTCGTTTCTCCTTAATTGCAAGTGTGCAGTGATTCGAAAGCAGAATTTTATTGGTTCTACTAGTTATTTACGAACAAAAACGGTATACAACAATTTATTATGTACCACTGTTTTTCTACGTAGTATAAACGCAGCTTTAAACACATCTGTGTTAAAGTTGGTAACAAAAAACAAAAGAAAATCTTCCTCTTGCAATGTACGACATCTGTTAGTATGATTACGTACGAATTTATTATAAATCACTATTTTTATACATAGTGAAGACGCAGCTTAAGCCTAAGTCCCATCTGTTGCAAGAGAAATTTCAAAGACAGTAGAACCTTCCATAAATTTTCTCATTGAACTTCGAGACCAACGAGGATCTAGGAACAAAAATGAATGAAAACTCGCCGGTGCTACGGCCACTCCGGAATCCCAAGGCCATCGAATAAGGAAATCCTCGATCACGCAACCGGCCGTTAAGAAATTTGGTGTAAAGGAAAAAAAAAGAAAGGTAAAGGAATCGGAGAACGTTCCGCGTCGATCACACGTAATCGACTTTACGACAGATATCGATCTGGGGGCCCCTCTCTGCGCCGATTGTTACTCCAAGTTACAAGGGGAAACGAAAATGAGGGCCCCCTGGCAGCCGGGATTGGACCAAATGTCAATGTCAGGTGTTACCGGGCCTGCATTGGACAGGGCGTTTCCCAGCCACGCGTTCTCCCGTTGATGGGAGAATAGAATCCATGCAAGCGAAAATCTTTTTGCTGTGGTGCCTATATAAAGCCCATGAGGCAAGGTGGATACCACGAGTCCCAGGTACCTTGGCGAGTACTGAATCTCAGATAGCGCGCAAGGAGCCTCAACTCTGTACACCATGAACACCTTGGTGAGTATTACCGGTTAGACGGAATAATTATTACGAGTTGGGTTTGTTTATTAGTATTATAAAGAAAATTGTTTATAAAAGGTATTAGAAAAAATTGTATATTAATTAAATTATGTTTGTTTCGCGAAAATTTACATAAATTATTTAAGAAGAGTGTATTTATTGTATCATCCGAGGGGCTTATTTTGTCAAAGGATTCATTGATTCTTGTTAAAATTTGTATATCTAGAAACGCTTCATAGTTATTTTCTTTTTGGTGAAATATTTGTAGATTACTTAATAAGAAAATATTAATTTTACCAATTGGGGGATTCACTCAGTTAAAAATTAGGGAAAAGTTTTTGTAATGTATTTTAAAATGCATTTTTCATAATTATACATCATAATAGATGCAGTCTAGTAGTATTTATTATTTGATTGGAACTATTTTACAAATTATTGTCTGATTGGAACTATTTTTATTGTGAGAACACGCTGAAGCTACTTTATTTTTATGAATGTTTTTCCTAATTAAAGGAATTTTAATTTGTACACGAGTCATTATATTTATTTTTCCATTCACAGACATATTTTTCTTAGTTTCTTAACATTTTCTTGTGTCATATAATGAAATATTTATTCAAAGATTACTTGTTTTATTATTGGAGGCAGTTTGTTTCAGTGCATAAATTCAATAGTTTCTACTAGACTATTTTCTACAGACAAGCTACTATTATTTGATCTTTACTCTTGAAGGCAATCTTCTATCTCAGGGACCCAAAATAAAAGACCTATTTCAAAAACGACTGAAATTCTCTAAATTCTCCTTACAGAGTGTTTAATCATTTGTCGCATCAGTATAACCAATACCCTTTTCCGCTAAAAAATTATGCATTGCTCCAGACCAGATTAAAACTCCCAGTGACAAAAATATCAGAAAAAGGTATAACACAAAAAAACACAAATGGTCCAAAAAAACTGTGTTGATTGCCAAAAGTACTGACAGTTTCACGTGTTATAAATATTTAGTTTTATTTATCAGGTGTATTTAATTAAAATATATTTACAAATATTAACAACAATCAATCAGTAGATTATTCCTTTCTACAACGTGTATTCCACTTTCTGTTCCAGATCATTTTGTCCACCATTCTGGCGGTAGCGTTCGCCAAGCCAGGTCTGTTCCTAAGTCCTCAAATCGCAACGTACTCGGTCCCAGTTCTAACGAAGTTAGTCCCAGGAGCACCGATTGGCCTAGATGGCCGCGTGGTAGACACACCGGAAGTCGCCTACGCGAAGGCAGAACACGCTGCCGCCCACATCAACGAGAGGATCACCCTGGCCAACGAAGCAGTGAGGTCCGCTGATCATCTGATCGCCTACACCTCGCCTGTCCTGGCTACCAGTAACCTGGAAAACCTGAGCATCGCGAAAATCGTCCCCTCAGCGCCCATTGGACCCGATGGCCGCGTAGTAGACACACCGGAAGTCGCCTACGCGAAGGCAGAACACGCGGCTGCTCACATTAACGAAAAACTCGGCCTGTCCGCTGAGGCTGGCAAACCAATTGGCATCCCCTTGTTACTCTCCCCGTACTCTGCTCCAGTTATCCACAGTCTTAGTTAGGTAACGACATTGGCTGACGTTATTTCCGTTTTGTTCCTGTACATATGACTTGGGCTGACCTAATAAAGTGATGTTTAACCTTTATCCTCACGTTTTTACCACGACTGTTCTTCATCTCTCCATTTATTCATTTGTTGGCTCCATCTTGTAATTGTTTAGTTATTTAGTTACAGAAGCATTTATTCCTGCAAACGTTCCAGTCGAAAATCCTTTGTACCGTGACAAACTCTCCGTGGTATATCACGTGAAGATCTCAAGATACCATACTTGAAGGAAGTATCATTTGGGCAATATACTCTGAAACACCAGAATCGAAATACGGATCACCGTAATCTTCTGATTAGAGAACTAATAAATCAACCTACAATGTAAAGAAGATTTAAGGGAAACTGGCCTAACGATCTGGTCAAATGACGACACGCCATATTGCTTTTATCACATTGCGTTAATACTCCGTAATTTGTAAAGTGGAAATTTGAGTAGATTGTAAATTTGTGGAACAGAAATAAAAAAAGGCCTTCATAGCAAGTATACAAATACTAGCATTAAGAAAGAAACCAGACAATACGCAATTACTCTTGGGTTTCAGTCCCGACGGACCTATTAGTTTTTCTTCGCGTACAAAAAAGTTATTGCGTTTAATATTGTTTCTATGGATATGTATATGTATTATTATGTACATTTGAGTAAATTATTTTATTATTCCATTGTTATTACAACAGTTTAACAGTGACAACGAACGCATGCATATTTTCAAATATCGGACTAATAGTATATTTTTATTCTATATTATTACATATAAGTGAGTAATACGTATCAAAAACGTAATCGAAACA